CTATCGACTGGTATTATTTGAGGTTGGATGTCATAGTGTGGTTTGGGAACGGTAAGCTTTCAGATTTTGCCTCAAACGGTACATCATGGTAAACCTGATAGGAAGCTCTGATTTTTTCATAGATTTATATGGATATAAGAGGGTATTCTCGCTCTTGTGGTGTTACTCCAAGTGGCAGTGTGTATAAGTACAAGTTTTTTACTTTTTCTGTTTCCCTACAGCATCTCTTTTTTTCGTAAAGTTAGCTTTGTTTGTAAAATAAAATCAAGTTCAAGTTGATCTAGTCTAGTTGTCTAAGCTGTCTGTGTTGAAAATGCTTCAGATTTATTCATCTCACATATGATGATGGCTTTTTTTACTTTTTTTTGGTATCGGTTGTGGTTCCAAATGGCAGTATAGACCTTCGAAGACGGCGATCGTTCTTCTGAAATTAATTTTTCGTTTGATGCAGTAGTTCGCGAAAACGTGAAAAATAATAAAGTGTTTCAGCATACTTGACATTTTACATACTGTGATTGACCAGCTAGAAAAGTACATACTTTTCAATACTAAGTGGACATTTAGACGATTTACATATCGAGTACACAGCTTTTTCCCGTGTATTTGTATGAAAGCTGAAAATCATGCTTTCTCATATGCATCGTAAAAATCGTTTTTTTAAGCTACGTTACATACTACTTCCTTCTGCATTCAAATTCCAAACGATAAACTCGCACCAGTTGATGAATTTATACCACCATTAAAACGCTAACAATAATCAAATTTCATTTAATTATTTTTATTTTCGGGAACCTGAAATCGACGTAAGAGACGTATTTAAATCAGTATACATAACAAACGTGGAACAAACAGTCTTGGGCTTTAATAACACACTGCGCTCTGGTGACGATCCTTGAGATAGTTATCGAGGTCGGTAGCTATTATCGCTGTTTATGCGTAGTCCTTTAACTCCTCAAGACTGCTCTGGATGTGTTTTACCATGAAAATTGTCTCTCGAACCGAAGGAGGATCGCAGTTTATACTTGAAACTCGTGATTTTTTAAATCGATAAACAATTAAATCATGGATGAGGAAAAAGTCGGAAACAGTGTTTGTTACCAGAGCCAATCATGTCCGACGGAACTGATTATTAGACAATATATAGACCGATTCTAGCCTTTTGCATCTATATTTGTATTTGATGACGAGTCAAACTGAATATTGCAATTATCGTCAGAGATACTGTGTTGACCCAATTCAGATAAACTAATCTTAACTAGATTCACTAATGTCGTATCAATGAGAGTTCGCTGTTGACTTAGGCAGGTAAGACGAACTCTTGTCTCCCACATGTCATGCATTACATTTACATGGGAGACCATACATAGCAGATATTGATACTTCTAATTTTGTTTATCCGTCTTTGCTTTTCCCCTGAAAATACTCATTGCTTTTGTTAACATACTTAATAAACTTCTTGAATGCTTCGTGTACGTTTTAATGTTACAGGTTCTTTGAGATTAATACCTTCATCATTCCTAACATCATTATTTGCAATAAGAACCCTATCTGTTGTATTATTAATAATATTGTTTTTGATTGCATTATTATGGTTTTTTGTGAAATCTAATACTGATTGTGCACCAATGCCATGATATCGTTAATGATGTTCATTTCTATTGATAGTTGGTAAAATATCAATGAAGTACATCAGCGGGGAATTCAAGTTTTTTAGATTCGCATACATCAGTCGACAGACTAACGTCGTCTCTACAAAATGAAAAACGTACACATTTTGTGTACACATTTTTGACTTATTACAAAAACAACCAATACTATTCTTTTATTTTATCTATACGACACGGCCAGCTAACTTTACTACCGAATGGAAGTTCTGTGACTTTTTTTGGTACTTATTTCTCTTACAATTTTCGAAGAATGAGATTGCAGGAATGTCTCAAAATCTTTAGCACACTTTTCTCTGTCGTTTGAGATATTTCAGATCTCTGGACTTCTCATTCTTCAAAAATTATAAGAGAAACAAATGCCGAAAAAATGTCATGGAATTTCATTCGGGTAGCAGAATTAATTAGCCGTGCCGTATAATATTTTTCTGTCATTTTAGAGTCTTCAAGTCTTACTGAACAATTTCATTCGATGCATTTAAAACTATGAGTTCATCCATCAGTTATGATTATACTGTTTGTTGAACGGTTGCTTGAGCGCCATCGAAATACAATTTCAATTATTCATGACACTTCCAGAACTCCAGGCCAAAATATTTAATGTGTGTCCGACCCGTAATACGATACTCGTATCAGTTTCTGAGATATTCAAGGACCTTAGCCTTAAAAAATTGCAAAAGTATTCATGAATAAACGAAAGTACTTGAACCGTATTATTTAGAAAATTGAATGGGTAGAATCTGACCTATATAGAGTCGTAAAGCAGTAAAGCCAAATGACTTATTTTATAAGCAAACCCTTATCAATTCATAAATGGTTATGTTACTTTATTGAAATTCGTATATGCGAAAAATACTTGAAATTTGTCATATTTTTTGTAATAACGATTTCATTTAAAACACATCAAAGAAATTCCAGACCTTTGTTTAAAGCCTCCTCAAAGACTTTGATACTTGCTTTTATTTCATTTCGTTTTTGTGTTTGTTCTACCGATTCAGCCATTAGCACCAGTAAATCGGTGGATTTGAATTGATTACTCAATGTTATATGCATCAAAAGCGCACAGTTGGTGACAAAGAAATGGTAACATAATTGTGAAACTTGATCAATGACACGCTTTTTCACCACTTTGCAATAAGCATGCATTGCTATTTGGATGTCGACGGCAGCTTGTGACTCGTTTGATACATCGGAAAAATGGAACTGAACCCCGTCTATTAGCGAACAAATATCTGCAGGTACTGGCTGAGGAACTGGAATTGGCTCTTTAAATCCTATAGATACCGGTGTTGGTGCCGTGGCTGTTTTTTTGTTTGCTTTATTCTGCTGCTGGTCTATTTCATATTTTCGTTTCAATGAGTTGACCGTATTCATGTAATAATGGTTTAGCGTAAATATATGTCGTTCCATGATTAAAGTGTCTTGAACGCGTTCTAAACACTTCTGTTCGGCCAATTCCGTATCACGAACGATTACATCTCTTAAACGATGAATGAGCGCAGGATAATTGGTAACAACAAAAGTTCGATCAAATAACGATAGTAATGTCTGCGTCATATACTCTTTTGTTTCCTTAACCAAGTTCATACACGGTTCTTTCAACTTGTAATCTTCATTGGTGAATAATCGTTCAATAACTTGGAAAGAAGGAAAATTTGGTAATGTAATACCGGCTGTTTCCTCGATGTAGGCTAACACTAGTTTGTTGTATTCAGGAGTGAAAAAATTGGAAAAACATATATTTATCTTCTCCTGAAGCTTCTCTTGAAATTTGTATAACCGATAAGAGATTCGTTCGTCATTTTTACCTGTATCGTTAGTAGAAGACCGAGGAGAAACCGTTGCGCCACCGTTAACGATCATCGACATCAATTCATTTTTATAGTTTCCCTGGACTTTAGCGTAGATACTTTCTCGATAGACATTGGTCATTTCGTTGAATTTCGCTAAACATTCCATTTCCGATGTTATTGGAATTGGTAAATCCTTGAGTTGTTTTTTTTTCGTTTGGATTTCTTCTTTCAATCGCTCAATGATGTCAGGAAATGTTGATCGAATACATTGTTGCTGAATCAAAGCCAGTTTTTTTACCAGTTGTTCACACTCTTTCATATTCTCCGGCACTCAGATATTCGTTTATTATATGCACGCGTATATAGTTTGTCATCGATCAACAGAGTATTCACATTATTTGTGAATTAATTAAACATGATGAAATGCATCACTGTGTTTTATAAAAAAATCTTGTTCACGCTTTTTCATATCATCAAAACTAATTTTGGCCTCAATTTCCTCCGGATTACGATTCAGCACTGCTACACAACCATAACGCACTATTACATTCCCTGTAATTTAGCTGCAATACCTTTGTCGTATTTATCAATTTTGCTGCACGGGAACATTCATGAGGGACGGAGCAAGATCAGCAAAACAGTCGGTCACCGTTTGACCGGATGAGACTAAGAAACCAGAAATCCTACAATTATACACAATGTTCTTGAAAAAAAGCTTTTATTCAAGTTATATGTGCTGAGTATCCTCTACAAACTGAGAATAGTTTACCGTGCAATATCTCACGCATCGAATCAACAGCGGCCAACAATCGACGAGGTTGAGCAGCATTTAACTCCAGCGCCAACATATTCTAGAATAAATTATAATCACTTGTCTGAAAGGCTTGTCTTACGTCGCTCTTTTGAGTATCTGTTTCTTTTGTACAGTTCGTCATAAAGTCAACTGACTACTTTAACTAATTTTTTTCTTCTTTCTCTGCATATATGACCTATTATTCACCATGAGACGAATATCTGATAAACGAGGGATAACTCTTAAGTAGGTAAGAATTTGTCTCGTGTTTTTAGATAAGTTTTGTTTGCATACTTTACCTTTGTTTCTTATATTTTGCATTTTTACCAGACAAGTTCCTTGACTTTACACTGCTAATGAATAAGAAAAATGATATAGGACCGGTCGCTAAGAACAATTTCGTGGGATTATAAATAAGCTGGAATATTTCTGACGGATAAAAAAATAGAAATAGCATTTAAGTCAATGACTGCCCGACTCTCTGGAGAACAAATCAGGAGAGAATTTGCGGGCTCACCTTCACAAATGCATCTTCCTTTCTCGTGTACGGCCTTCGCGAAAGAGTTCATTTCACGAAGTCAAATATTAGTAAAGCCCCGATCTTTAGGATACTAGATGTTGGTTATGTTATGTCGAAGACATCTTTTACGTGTTTAAATCTACTGACAATATCAATGATTTCATATAAAAAATAGCTTTTCTTGAAGTTCTTGTAATAAGGGATACTATTGTTGACAAATAGGAGAGCGATAAATGTTGTTTTTCTAATTGTGACTTTACAGTAAAAGTATCTCGCGTAAAAAAAGAACTATTACTTATACTTAATACCTCCTAACATACCTCCCACGGTACAAGATGAAGCGCCCCGCTCATCTCAAAAACAAAACAAGAAAATAACGTCTACCAAAAATGTGTGTAAAAATGGTTTTGATTGCGTCTTGGTCATAATCTAATAAGAAGCTGCCACCTTCTAATTGTATCCGATTCTGTCCAACAAATTATAATTGTGGGATAGTTGCGTATTAATATTGATGGTTAATCGATAACTCAAATCCTTGATACATGTACTTGTTCTTCATGACCATCATTAACATGTTTCACCTTGTAATTTAAACGCCCTGATTGTTGAATAACTTTGAAAGGACCGTGATATTTGGGTGAAAATTTCTTTAAATTTTTGTTCATCATTTGTTTTAGTAACAGCAGTTGTCCAATTTTTAAGTTTGTTTGATCTCGACGTCCAGTGTCATAGGTCTATTTATAGGTATTTTGGTGTTGTCTGGTGTTGAGCCACGCTGTTGACTTGGCTTGTTGTAAAAATTTAAGTAATTGTGAGTAGTAATCATTTGCTTGTGGTAATTGAACAATGGATGATGGAACATCAAATGGGAGAATTGGATCACCAGCACTATTTCGACTTAAGTCACATGCCATCTCGCATCTCTGCACCACGAGGAAATAGTTGAATAGCGTCATTTATGCGAGTAATCATTAGCTGCGTGATCATTCAGATGCTTTTTCCGTAGTTCTTCGTCCTCAAACCACCAGTACTTTCATTAAAATGAAATGTGACCTGGTGGTCTTTCACATCGAGACGGTATACGAATATCATCATGATTCCTAGTAATCATTAGCTGCGTGAGCATTGAGCCACTTTTTCGCTAATTCCTCTTCGTCGCACCAGCAGTATTACGACCTAAGTCACGTGTCATCTAGCCTGGTTTCACATGGATACAATTTATAAATAGCGTCGTGCTTCGAAGTAATCATTAGCCGGCGGAGCATTGGGTGCCTTTTTCCCGAGTTAATTCTCGTCACATCAGCAACATTTCAACGTGAGTCAGATGTAATCTGTCGTCCTTTCAATTGAGACAACGTACGAATAGCGCAGTATTTCGACTTAAGTCACATGGCATCTGCCGTGCTTTCAGATGGAGGCAGTCTGTGAATAGCGTAATGATTCCACGGGGTCATTAGCTGCGTGAACATTTAGTCGCTTTTTCCTAGTACGTCATTGTGGCACCAGCAGTATTTCGACTTAAGTTACATGTCATCTGCCACATTTTCACAGGGAGGCACTATACGAATAGGGTCATTTTTGCGAGTTATCATTAGTTGCATGATCATTCAGGTGCTTTTTGTGGAGTTCTTCGTCATCACATGAGCAATGTTTCGATTCAATTGAAATGTCGCCTCGTGGCCTTTCACGTCGTGACAGTATATGAATATCATCATGATTCGAAGTAAGCATTAGCTGCGTGATAATTGAGGCGTTTTCCCAAGTTCTCCTTCGTCACACCAGGAATATTTCGACCTAAGTCACATGTCATCTGGTGTACTATCACATGAAGACAATAAATATATGAATATCGTTATGGTTCCAAGTAATCATTGCCAGCGGGATCATTGAATCGCTTTTTCCCTAGTTGTTCCTCGTCACACCAGCAATATCTCCACTTCAGTCACGTGTTATCTGGCGTTCTTTCACATGTAGACCATTTATGAATACCGCTATAATCCCAAGTAAACATTAGCTGCATGATCACTGAGCCCGTTTTGCGCTAATTCTTCCTCGTCACATCAGCAATATTTCGACTGAAGTCACATGTACTCTGTCATGGCTTCACAGGTAGGCAGTATATGAACAGCGTCATTTTTGCGCGTAATCATTAGCTGCGTGATCATTCAGGCACTTTTTCCCGAATTCTTCGTCGTCGCACTAGCGATATTTCCATTAAAGTGAAATGTGAACTCGTGGCCTTCACGTCGGGACAGTATAACGGGTGTCCCATAAAGAATGACCCTCTTAGTATTATCTCAATATCTTTTTTGATTCTTATCCTTTTGGGCTGAATTTTGTTTTAAAAGATTCAGTTTTCAATTCTCTGCAAAACTGTGTACTTCTTTTTCTTGTCGACACATTCAGTATATTTATAGATAATGAAAAGTAAAGGTATTCGGAACCTTGTACTTTCAAAGTATGAAAATGGTGATGGTCCGACTAAAATATTTCGTGATTTAAACGGTGCCATTAGTCTCAAAACAGTTAAACGATGGTGCAAAAAGATCGTCGAGACTGACTCTGTCGAACCATCATATTCACCTGGTCGTCCACGTATTGCTCGAACAAAAGGAAACATTCAAAAAGTGAAAAGTCGATTAAAGCGCGAGAAAAGAGTATCAGTTCGAAAACTGTTGACTGAACTGGATATTTCAAAACAACTGTTCATCGAATACTTAAAACTGATCTAGGATATCGAGCCTATAAGAAAACGGTCGAACCATTACTCACCGATGATCATAAGATCAAAAGGAAAAAGTTTGCAAATTGGATACGAACAAATTTTCGAAAAGAAGAAACAATGCGAATCCTTTTTGCGGACGAGAAAATGTTCGGTATTGATGGTGTATACAACTTATTTCGAGCCCTAGTAAAATAAGGCTTTCCTCGCGCTTTATATTAGAGCCATCTCGTAAGGTAAAGTTGAAATTATTTGCCCTATCAAGGCTATTGGAAACGAACATCCACGCTCATTTTGACAAGATTAGAGTCATAAGATTGAAGATGCACCGATCACTGATTTTATTTATGTTACTCTGACGGAATTGAGACAGGCTTGTCGCCGTTATGGGGCAGATGAGGGTACAATCATCGGCAAAGAGGATAGTATCAGCCGGTGGGTCTACAACGGTAGAAAGGAATAGCAGAGAACTAAGGATGGAGCCCTGTACTACTCCTGATATTGCGACAGTTGACATAGACTGTTTAGAGCCAACTCTTACTTGCTGGAAACGATTGGACAGGTAGTTCGTAAACCATGGTAGGGCTGTTTGAGATAGGCCTAACACTGATAAACGAGAATTGATTATTTGATAGGGAACTTTATCAATGGCTTTCTCCATAACAAATGTGATTAGGACGGTGTCTTCCGGCGATTGTTTATTAAGATTAGTTGTCAGGTTATGTAACAAATATAATATAGCATCAATTGTCGATGTTTTTGGCAAAAAGCAGAACTAGTTATTGGAAAAGAATTTATTTAAGCTCAAATGAGTAAACAATTGATCGTAAATAAATCTTTCCAATAGTTTACTCACTATACAAGAGAGAAATTGGTCTATATTAGACAACAGATTTTGAGCGTTTTTTGTGAGTGGAATTAACGGAAGCTAACTTTCACTCCGACGGAAAATCTCCAGTTTCAACTGATAACTTAAAAATATGATGCAATTGATGTGCAAAAATTGCAACGTTCTTTTTTATCACAACCACCAGGATGTCGTCTGGGCCTCAAGCGATGTTATTACGCAGGTTGTTAATAGCTAAAATTATTGCCTTCCTAGAGGGACATATGAAATTGAGTGTAGCTGTGGGGTGAAAGTTGGATTGGGGTGTTTGCATGGGACCCGATGTTGACATAATGCAGCTAGAAAAATATTGAATAAAGAGGTCCGCTTTTTCCTGGTCAGTTGAGGCAGACGTAGTCCCATTAGTAATTGTTGCGAGTAGACTAGTGTTACCTAGGCTTATCCGATTAATGGCGGCCCAAAATGTCGCCGGTGAGGTAAACGAGGTAGAAATTTGGTTAAAATGAGCATTTTTGTCTTTGTTTAAGGCCTTAAGGACTTCACCGTCTACATTTTTTAACTGAAAAGTTTGATTTCTTTTACGCCTTAAATAATAATAACTGCGACTGCGTCACCATTCTTATTCCAACAAACTTCCTATGTGAGGTCTAATTGTTGTCGAAATCGGGACAAACAATCTCCAATCTATTGTATGATAACATTCTTTGGCTAAAGATTAATAAAATGTCTTATATAACTAAAGTTTGAAGAACTTGTCATATTATATTATTGAATGGCTTAGGGCGGTGAGTATAATAAAATCTTTGTAAACTTAATGAAAAAGAAGAAACATTTTTCCTGGTGATGTCCTCTGGAAGGGACAATCGAGCATAAAGGGTTAATTCGTTCATTTTTGTACACAGTAATCTCAGTAAAACAAGTCATTTTATATTGGTAGTAATTGTTTTTACAGCCGTTACTGAAGTATCTGTATATACCATCTTACCTCGGTAATATGCACACTACCTTCTGCTTGAGAGAACAATATCATAGAGGTTTTGGGAGAAAGTATCTCCAGATTCCATCAGTATTTCCGTTTGTTGAGATTTGTTTTATGCGTACTGTTTAAAAAAGATAAGAAGTATCTTCCTTTTTGTTTTCAAGTCAACTTTATTGCTATACCTCCAAAACCTGAAAAAAAGGTTTAGGAAACTTAAATTCACATTCGTTCTGTACAGTTTAATTTTCTGAAACTATTCTCAAAGTGTTTAACGTCTTTTCTAAACTTTTTTTGGCCTTTTATAAAACGAAAGGCTTAGAAGCCCCTTGAGAAGAGTTTAAGAAAATGAAACTATACAGGACGAATGTGGATTTAGAAGCTTTCCTAAAGCTGTTTTTAGGATTTAGGGAAGTACGCTTAACGCTTAATTGCTGATGTTCTCTTCCACGATGTCAGATTATTATTACAAATCAAGTATAATATATATAAAAACGCTAATACTGACAATTTACGATGTATTTTCCTTTATATTTTTATTGATACAATTAATTTCACTTGAACCTCAGTTTATTTAATTCTCATTACCCATAAATCTCGAAAATCTAAAATTTTTTTCGAATAATTCTCGAATATCATTGCGCTTGTGGTGAAATTTTTTCTGTCGTTGTTTATTTATGCTTTCGGGTGAGTTTTGTATTAACGAATTAATATGAGCTTCTAATTGGCTCGGTGTTACATCGCTGGCAAATCGTTTTATTGGACGACCATTGGCATCAACTAAAAATAAAGTGGACACATATTGGAAGTAGAAAAACAAAAAAAAACAAAAATTACTCAAAAATTTTTCAAAATTCCAACGCAAATCATTTGAATGCACTGGTACATAAGTAATATTTGGGCACGAATGAATTTCATCTATAGGAGGCGGACAATGTTTCTAGAAGTACATACACGCAAAGGTATATAGTTCATCAATTCTTTATATTGAAAAGATATACTACTTTCAAAAACGTAAATAATGGTTGTTCATATGCACCGTTGACATCAGTTTTTTCAAACATTGGAAAATTGGGAATATAATTATTTCCAGGTCGAACATATCTAATACCATTTAATATTTCTGTGGGTGTTACTCCTGGCTCTTGCTGAAACGAAAAGTATGCGCTGCACAACAATATTTTTAGTATAGCCTGAATACAGTTGAAGAAGTGTAATAAGGCGACAAATTATAGATTCTTTTCAGCAGCTTAAGCCTTGAAACTCTCATTGAACATGAATTTTATAAGCAAAAATAACATATATTAAGAAGATGGAGGAACGTGTTTATCAACAACATATCTCAGACTCCCTGACTCAAATAAACAATTGATTGCTTTCCATACATATAATAACTGTCTACATACCAATCCAAATTGATTACAAGGAAACGCTAATATTTCAAAATTAGGTGAATATTGTGTTTTTAAGTTGTTTAATTCTGGATATTGCAATGTATACTGACAATAAGTGGCGACTATCACGATTAACAAAGGTGTACCTATCATAAAAGTAAGCAGAAACAAAATTCTTATCTTTACTCTTCTTATTAAGTCCATGTAAAATCTCCCGCGACATACAAAGCTGTCTTCTTTCAGTGTGCCTACCTACTATACCTTAGAAAGCTCTGGAAAGGATGACTTTTGGCGAAGACTATAGGTCTACAGCAGTTGCAAGAGCTGAGGAATCTACAATTTACTTTTACAGTAAAGTAGGATTGAATCGCTATTTTCCAGCTGTTTTTGCCTGGCTTTCAACGTTTGCTTTATCTCTCCTTTCGTCCAGTATCTAGTAATTGGAAACAGAAAACTCAAGGCCTTCAAAATATGTTAAAATTAAGTATGGCTGTTATGCGGCTATTGGGAACAAGATTTCTAGAAACCACTTAGTTTCTCAGAATTTCTACAAAAGTAGAAGAATGTGAACTTTTCAAGTACTAAAAAAGATAGTGCAAACAATTCTCTACAAAATGAGACATTTCCTAGCTTTGAAGGATGTTTCGTTGGGAAAATATGAATTTGTCTGGTGAATTGCATTCCTCACTATAAACTTGAAAATAAGTTATAGAAAATAAAAAACGATTTTCAGTTTGTCCATATACGAATTCACTAGTGATTTTCTACTTTCTTGGAAACGTGATTTTCACAGACGCTTCTCGGTTTTTCATAAAACAGGTTTGCATTTTCCAATAAGCCGTCGATTTTGCATAAAATCAACGACGCCTTTTAAACTTGAAAATTCCCGACGAATTCGTATGTGAACAAAATGAAAATCAAAAGTGGAATATACTTTGAAAGAAATTGAAAATCTAGTACGATTTCTGAAAATTGTGGCTATGTTCAGCGTCCTTCTAGTTTAAATTTCTTTTTCTTTTCTTCTTTACATGGAGTCCAAAAAAAGATTTACTGACGTGAGTACAGTAAAACGATATTTTAATACAGGTAAATGAATAAAAACGAATTGGTTCAGTCCCTTCAATTTTCTACCAGAATAAAACACATACAACATTTCTTAAGGATGGGCCGAAAGACTGACCACATGTGTATAAGAAAACAATATGTTTGTGAACACATTTCTCTGTTTCTTAATTTTATTCTGCTTTTGAACTCAGAGAAAGACTATTCTGTACGTTTTTTAATGAAGGAAAAGACATATTACGGGATCAATCACTTAAGTTTTCTTTCTTCAGTGAAAGAACATGTCATGATTCGCTTATATTTTTTTTATAAACCATCATCAGTGTAAATATGAAATAAACAAACCATGTATTTTAGACAAGCCTTTTGTTGAGCCATCGCGCGTTTTCACGCGTTGATGTACTACAAACGCATCGAAACGCGTTTAAATCTAACGGGTTCTGACGGGTTAGAGAAAACGGATGCATTGATTACCAGTGTGTTTTGCAGAACCATTATTTA